AAACACTTGGTGTGCTGCTGGGGATGGAACTCAGAGCTTGGCATCTGTTTGCCAGCACTCCATTACTGTGGTACATCCATAACCCCAAAACACAGGGGACATACTCATCCTCCTACAGCTCAATGGGTATTTTAGGACAGGAAGATGTCTGCTATGTCCCCTGAGCCACACACAGTGAAGATTCAAATATTGGTGAAATGGGCACAAGATTTTTAAGAATCATGTCTCCAAACAAAAAGATGAATAAGACAACCCAGTCTCCTTGTTTCTAGAGCCTACATTTCAGACTCCTGATTTATCATCACTAACCAATCTTACAGCAAGTGTGCCCAAGTGCTTGTCCCGAAACTAGATGTCAAACACCCAAGTAACTGAAGAATGTATTTACAGCTGGGCATGATGGGGCATATCAGTAACTGAACCACTCAGGAGACAGAGGCAGGAGGACCAAGGGAGCTGAAAGTCAGCCTGGGCCACATAGCAAGACCCTGTCCCAAAAAAACTAAGAACAAAAGAATGACTTTTACATTACATGGAATGTGCCATTTCCAAGATTGGTCCATGTATTCACTGCAATCAAATGAGATATTTGAGAGACACCTATAACCACCAACTAGGCAGTACTGGGTTTTCCTGCTGAGCCAAGCAGATGGAAGATAACGACGGCTACAGTGTTCAGTTGTTTACAGGGAATAACTATTGCCTCTCTTCACTAAGAATGACCTCAAAACAAAGGACAGACCCACAATAACTTCTCGAAGAACAAATTTTAAGGTTATGGTTTCCTGACTAAGACATAAAGTATGAGCACATGCAGCCCATATTCAGCTCAGAAAGGCAACTGTTTCAGATTGAGTTTTACAGATTTGTCCAGAGAATAAACTTTTTTCCTGAATTCTAGGGTGAGTCCAGGAAGGTGTTCCCTTTTTCTTTTTCTGAGACAGGGTCTCATGTATCTCAGACTGACCTGGAATTGTTTTGTTTTGAGACAGGGTCTCCCTGTAGGCCTGGAACTCACAGAGATCCCCACCTGCCTCTGCCTCCCAAGTGCTGGGATTAAAGGCATGTGCCACCACATGGCCAGCCCAGACCAGCTTTTTCCCTGAATTCTAGTTGATTTATTTTCTGTAATTTCCCCATAAATCAGTGTTATTCCATTTCATTCTTAAATTAAGTAGGGGAACTATTAAGAAGATAAATATGAAAAAAAAAACCAACAAAAAAGAAGATAAAGTATAACTCCAAGTAAGCAACTTTACTTCCTATTTTTGTTGTTTCTGGGGTCTTCCTGTAACCTCAACAGGCCTATAACATGCTACGCAGACTAGGCTGGCCTTGATCTCACAGAGATCCACTTGCTTCTACCTCCCAAGTGCTGGGATTAAAGGTTTGTTCCACCACACCAAGCTTTGCTTCTGTTTTTGTTTTTTTATTTTATTTTATGTGTATTGCCTGTAAATGCACCCGTGTGGTACAATGCCCTTGGAGGACAGAAGAGGCTGTCGGATCCCCTGGAACTGGAGTTACGGACAGTTGTTAGCTACCATATGGGTGCTGGGATTCGAACCCAGGTCTTCTGCAAGAACAACCAGTGTTCTTTTTTTTTTTTTTTTTTGGTCTTTTTGAGACAGGGTCTCCCTGTACCCCAGCTGTCCTGGAACTCACTTTGTAGACCAGGCTGGCCTTGAACTCACAGAGATCCTCCTGCCTCTGCTTCCCAAGTGCTGGGACTAAAGGCATGTGCCACCATGCCCAGCAAATGACCAGTATTCTTAACCACTGAGTCATCTCTCCAGCCCCTGCTTCTGTTTTTTAAGACAGGATCTCACTAATTAGCCCAGGTGGGCTTCAAACTTGCAGTGATCCTCTTGCCTCAGCCTCCCATATCATTTTGAGTTTTGTTGTTGTTTGACACAGGGTCTCAAATAATTCATGCTGGTTTTCAATTCACTATATAGCTGAAACTGGCCTTGAACTCCTGATCCTCCTGCTTCCACCTCTCAAGCCCTAGGGTTAAAGGTCTGCACTACCACAACTCATCACCGTATCATTTTTTTAAACTTTCATAATGTACATATCTATACATTCACAAAAGCAGAGATCACCACCTCTATAAACCAACTATCCGACTGACTGACTGTCAACAATAACCAGTAATTTCCCCCTAGGAACCAGCACACTTCTCCTGCATGCTCAACCTCTAATCATTGTAAAATTTACTTCACTTCAGAGATAAGCTATTTGGTCCCTCAGCATCTACTTCCTGGTTATTCAGCTAGGAATCAGCATCTTTTACGTGTGTTCTATCCTAATAACCTAAGTTCCATGAAGGAGTTTACAATAAGTGGGACCAGGGGGCTTGGAGAGATGGCCCAGTGGTTAAGAGCACTGGCTGTTCTTGCAGAGGACCTGGGTTTGATTCCCAGAACCCACATGGCAGCTACAAACCGTCCTTAACTCCAGTTCCAGAGGAATCCGAAGCCCTCTTCTGACCTCTGAGGAATTGCACAACACGGGTACACTCACACACATGCAGGCAATACATTCATATACATAAAATAATAAATAAAATATTTAAAATAAACAAAGAGTGGGAACAAATACACTAAGTCTGTGGGTTTCAAAACCCACAGATAGCTGGGCCTGGTGGCGTACAACTTTAATTCCAGCACTTGGGAGGCAGAAGCAGGCAGATCGCTGTAAGTTCAAGGCAAGTCTGGTCTACATAGTGAGTTCCAGGACAGCTGGGACTACCGGGAGACCCTGTCTTCATCTGCCCTTCTTCCTCTACTTGCTCCTACCACAGCTGCAAAAACCAGTTATACCTAAAATCCACCAGGATACGTTCCCTGATCCTCATGCCCCTCTGGCTTAGGGTGCCCCTCACACTGCTCTAGGTTCTCTCATCAGAGACTTCATAGAACTGAAGGGCATGCACTTGTTACTGCTTTTGATTGCCAAGGACATAAAATAAGAGTGTGGTATCTGCCAGACAATAAACAAAAGCATGCACATGTCTGAATAAATGTCCAATCCTTGCTATACTCATCAGCTTCTCTTGGGAGATTGATTCACTAATGTGCTCATTAACTACTTTCTCAGAAACGTATAGCTTGCAAGATCAAGTGACTTTAAATGCCAACTGGAAACACACGACGTAAATCAGATGTAACAACACCTGTGCATTCTCTCCAGCGCCTGTGCTTTCTTTCTAGTAAGACCACTGTGATTTTGTAAAAAAATCTACTTTCCCAGGTGTTTACTGTCACTCTGCTGTGCTGAGCTCCTCACTTCCCTGGGAAAGGCCCCATATCAAGACCTATTAACTAATCAATTTCACAGAAATTAGGGGCCATGTGCAGAATTAGGTGCAGAATTCCAGCTGCAATTATACAAAGTAGGCACTCTATTTCCTATAGGAATGATCAGTGGCATGGTGGTTTTAAAATATATTCGCAAGCTGGACATGGTACCACATGCCTAAAATACCAGCACTCTAGAGAGGAAAGAAGATCACCACAAGTTTGGAGCCAGCCTGGTCAATATCACGAGTGCTAGCCTGGGCTACAAAGCAAGACTTTGTCTCAAAGGGCACTCCCCTACAAAAAAAGTGAGGGAGCTGGGGTGATCAATAAGAAAAGTGCTGGTATGGTAACACACACATTTTGTGGGGATTTGGGGGCAGGGGTGGGCAAGATGTCATTGTGTGGCCCTGGCTGGCCTAGAACTTGCAATATAGACTAGGCTAGCCTCAAACTCCCAATGATCCTTCAGTCTCCCAAGTGCTGGGCCATGACACAAACTTATAATTCCAGCACTGGGCAACAGGAAACAAAGAGAATTCACTATAACTTGATGGCCAGTTTACTTGGCAAGGGCTAGGTCAGTGAGAGACCCTGTCTCAAAAAAGGAGATGGAGACTAGCAAGATGGCTCAGTGGGTAAAGGAACATGCTGCCAAGCCTGACAACCCAAGCTCCATCCCAGGAACCTACATGGTGGAGAGAGAACCTACTCCTGCAAGCTGTCCTCTGACCTCCACAAGTGTGACACATGTGTACCTGCAGCTTATGTACCATGTCCAACTTGTGAATATATTTTAAAATCATCATGCCACTCACCATTCCTGTAGGAAAAAGAGTGCCTACATGTACCATGTGTACACACAAAATTCACAAAATGGGATCCTTTGTATTTAGTAATACAGAATGTGGAGAAAGTGTTTGTTGGATTTCTCAAAGTAGGTCATAAAAAGTACAGTGTTTTCCACCAGTCACTTCCCCCACAGACAACTCCCTATGAAAAAAGACAGCTGCCAGCTGAAAACAACAGAAAAGGCTCAGGAGGCAGAGAGAAGTACTGCCACTGGCCATGTGAGCTATCTCGAACTTAGATCCTGATGCCTGGTGAGAAAGACACTAGGCCAACATCACCCAGGTAGACTACAATTGATTCCTCAACCCACTGAAAGTGTTGACTCATAAAGGTTTTATTTTTACAAATTTACTTTTTTGTATTTATTTACTTTTAGAAAAAGCCTCATACTGTAGCGCCGGCTGGCCACAAACTCACCACAATCCTCCTGTCTCAGCCTCAAGTGCTAGTATTAGAGGCATGCATCACCACACCCAACATAAAGGTTCTTTTAATCCAGTAAACTTTGTGTTTGTTATAAAACAAAAGATAAGAAACTCAAGGAAGGGGTGGTTAAAAAAACAAACAAAAAAGCTAAAACAGAAGCAGGTGGGGATGACCACCTGTAATTTCAGCACTTGGAAGGCTGAGGCAGGTGGAGGAGGAAGAGGCGGGAAAAGAACAAACAGCAGCGAGACCTGAGAGAGTGAAGGATGAGGATGTCCCCCAGCAGCCGCAGCACCTCCCTGGCCTCATCCACCTCATCCTGCTGGGCCCGTTTTACCCCTGCTCCCTCAATTTTTCCCTCCACAGTCTGATTCTCACTGAAGCGGGATGCGGCAGGGCTCGGCGCGAGCCGACCTCTACCTGCGGCCACGGTCCCTCAGGTTGTCACCCCGGTTGCGCCCGCTGGGCACTGCGCACTTGCTCCGGGGACCGACGCCGCCCAGCACCGACTTGATCTGCCGAGTCGGGCGCACAGAGGCCATTAGGCCCCATGCCTGACCCCAATGCTCCGGGAGCTCAGGCCCAGTTGGCGCCGCCCTCGGCGTCCCCTGGCGTACGCGCTGCGCCCAGCACGCCCCAGGCCCCAGCGTGCTGCCAGTCACCAAACACAGCCGGCTCCTGCCAGAGCGCAGGAGCGCGTTGAGACTTACCTCAATCGACTCTCCGCCGCGGCCGCTCGCTCCGACCCCTCAGCCAGCGACCCAGGACTGCAGAGGCTAGCTCAGTTGTGGTCCTCGGAGGCCAGACAGCAGCTACCAGCCGGGTTGCAGCTCGCCCCCTCCCTACCCAGCCGCAAAGCAGCAGCGTGCCACACCCCCACGACGAGCCCCAGCCGCCTAGGCCCCTCCCCCGCCGCAGGTCCGTGTCACTCCGCCCCCGATGCAGCAGGGCCCTCTCCCAGGCCCCGCCCCCACAAGCCGCGCCCCGGAGCTGTCTCGGATTCGCACTAGTCCCACCCCGCCTGTGTGAGCGTCACATCCGGTTGGTGAAAGGGGCGCAGCCCGGGAGTGGCCCCCGTCCTTCAGTCTAAGTGAGTTGCTAAGCAACGGAAGCTCTTGGTCTCCTGTTGGGTCTGTCTGCTGAGGAACTGACGTTTTTTGGCCCGGTCTGCTGTGTTATATTGGGCCTCATGTTGCACATTTGACCCCAGGGAAACCGTGAAGGGCAGCGTGGGTCACCAGACTGCAAAAATATCCTTTCCCCGGGTTCTTTCTTGCTTGGGGGTTACCAGCCACTAGCTGCATATCATTTTCGTGCTTATTGATCACAGTATTTCCTCTTTGAATGCCAGTCCATATCATTAAATCAGTTTCTGAATGGTTTGTTTCTTACTATAGTTCTATTGTTTTGTCAATGGTGTGTATTGTAAATGTCTGAGGTTTATCTTTTCACAGTGGTTTGTTCATTTTTTTTTTTTTTTTTTTGAGACGTATTGCCCCTTGCTGACCTGCAACTCTCTGTGTATGTGAGGACCAGGTTGGCCTTGAACTCAGTATCTCCCTTTCTCTGCCTCCTGAGTGCTGGGGCTAAAGGCATACACTACCTTCCTTGTTTACAGAAGTCTTCTGATGGACATATTTAATATAAAAGATAAATCAAGGATTAGGAATATAGTTCAGCTGGTAGAGTGCTTGTCTAACAGGCACAGCATAAACCAGAAGTGATGGTGCACACCTGTAATGTTCTGTTATTGACAGAATATGTGAGTTGCAGAAGAGCCATAAGCCTCATTAGAGAAGACCATAAATCCCTTAAGGTGTCTAACTGGCCCAAATTGGCAGCCTGGCCTTGCTCAAGCTTTAGCAACTGGTCACTCCCTGGCCTGAGAGAGACTGTTTATGGAGACCACCTGTTTCCTTTAGTACTTTAGATAACTCACCCACCACCTGCATGAGTAAATAATCTTCAGAAGAGACCCTCAAGGACACCAGATCCTGGCACAGAGCTTACAGCTGTGTGCAGCAGAGTTCCTATATAAGATCAGACTGCTCCACCTTCAGATCATAGGTAATCATTCCTCAAGGAAGAGTTTATGAGCCTTTGCTGTTCCCTGAATCAAAGGAACTCATTCTTGCCTGTTGCAGGTCTGGCTCTGACTCTTATTTCTAAACTTTAAACACCTTCCTTTTTTTGCCCTCCTAAGTCTAACACTTAGAAAGTCAAAGCAGGAGAATCCAAAATTCAAGGTCATCCTGTGCTACATATCCACTTCAATGTAAGCAGGAGACTATCAGAGAGAGAGAGAGAGAGAGCAAGATTTTTCCATGGTTAGAAATTCTCTATCTCAAGTCACTGTCTACATTTTCAAAATGATTTTAAAGTTTTCACCAGTGACAATGACAGTGATTTTCTGATCAACATGAGTTACATGTGACCCTGTCAATATGTTTTTGTTTTTGTTTTTGTCTTTTTGAGACAGGGTCTCCCTGTAGCCCCAGCTGTCCTGGAACTCACTATGTAGACCAGGCTGGCCTTAAACTCACAGAGATCCACCTGCCTGTGCCTCCCAAGTGCTGGGGTTAAAGGCATGTGCCACCACACCCAGCCTCCAATCTTGGACTTTTAATTACCATGTGATATGTAGATAAAGCTTGAGCAAAAACCAAACTTTTTTTTTTAACTGTCCCAGAGGGCACACATTTTATTAGGCAGCAACTGGGATTTAACGGTTGGACTTGGCCACATGTTCCAGCTTGTCCTTCTTGATGGCGTAGGAGTTGGAGGAACCCTTGGCAGCATTGATGAACTCATTTGCCAGGCACTCAGCGATGGTCTTGATGTTCTGTAAGGCAGCTTCAGGAGCACCTTTGCACAGTAGCCAGATGGTCTGAATCACCCTGCACAGTGGGGACACATCCACAGCCTGCCATCTCACTGTCCTGGTTTGCCTGATGCCTGTGAGCCTTCCTGGGGGCCACTGTTGATAATGGCATTCACCAGAACCTGCTGAGGGTTCTCACCAGTGAGTAGGTGGATGATCTCAAACCCATGCTTGATGATGCACACAGATATGAGCTTTTTGCTGTTGTTGTAGCCATGCGTCATCATGGAGTTGGTGAGGCACTCCACGATGGGGCACTGTGCTTTGCAGAAGCATTTGGCAGCATACCACCCTGCACTGTGAGGCAGGTACTTGACATACTTCTCCTTCAAGGAAATGTAATCCTGCAGAGAAATATCATTGATTTGAACATCATCAGTGCTCCATTTACCAAATAGCTTGATGTCCAGAGTCTGTGCCATTGCTGGTGTGTCTGTCTCCCACTCTGTCATTCTGAGGGCACAGACCTGGCATCTCACTTGCTCCATACAGTCCTGGCACAGACAGGAAGAGAAAAAAACAAACATTCTTAAATAAACTTTGACTAGACATATATACTGTTCTTTAAACTAGTTGATTGAACTATGACCTTAGAGAGTTTAAGATTATATATTATTTTGTCTCATCTTTTTTTTATATTTATTACTTTTATGTGTATGAATGTATTGCCTGCATGTGTTCAAGTGCACCTGTGTCTTGCAATGTCCTCAGAGGTCAGAAGAGGGTGTCAGATCCCCTTTTACTGGAGTTACAGATGGTTGTTGGTCATTATGTGGGTGCTGGGAATTGAGCCTGGATCCTCTACAAGAACAGTCAATGCTATTAACCACTGAGTCATCTTTCCAGCCCTATTTTGTCTCATCTTTTATATATCATAACAAAGCTACCCAAACCTTTATTACTTGCATAGTCTTTACCATTTTCATATTTTGGAAACATCTAGCCATCTTAATTTTCATACATAAATACTTCTCTTTTTTGTTTTATTGAGACAGAGTCTCCCTGTAGCCCCAGCTGGCCTGGAACTTGCTATGTAGACCAGGCTAACCTTGAACTCTCAGAGATCTGTCTGCCTCTGCCTCCTGAGTGCTGGGATTAAAGGTGAGCATCACCATGCCCAACACATAAATCTTTCTTAATAAAATGTCTCCATTTCTATCAGCCTCCCCTTGGCCCAAACTCCACTGCTACCAGGAGACTGTTGCGCACCGGCCCCCATCAAGGAAAGTCAGGTGAGGAGAGAGACAGATGAAGTGAGAGGGGCCTCGGGTGGCGGTAAGGCAGGAAGAAACACCTGGGAAACTGTGTCAGCGGACAGGTTGTTTATTATGGTGTGGTGGAAGAAGAGGTTTATATAGGAAAGTTTCACGGGCAGAGAGGTGGGGTTGGTTTTCTGGTGGCCAGGCAGGTAGGGGGAGGGAGAGGGCTTCTAAGGCTATGTGGCCTTTGTCCTGTCCTCTGGTCACATGATCTACAAGAGACCCAGTTAGGATTAAAGGATTAGAGACCTAATAGTTTTGCTTGGAGGTTGCTGGGTAAGAGACAGTGTATCTAGATTGAAGCAGGCCAGTTTCCTGCCATCCTCACTAGGAGGTCTCCACATGCTCTACATTCCAGGCACTCCTGACTTATCTCAACATCTCCCTCTTTGTCTTTTGTAAGGGGTGGGTGTCATCAAAATCAGAGCTGGTATTAGGGATAGTTTGGTACTGGACCAGGACTCGGTGGTGATTTTAATGATGTCCTGTATGCGACTTTTGAAAAATTGAATTAGACAGGGTATTATGAGAAGCAGGGTACATAAGGCTAGCAGGGTCCTAAACAAGGGTAGGAGCCAAGCAAGGAGGGGGTAGGAAAACCATGGGGTCCCTTCTGGATCAGAGAGGGCCCGGGGAGGCTATTCTTTAGGTCTTGGAGAGTTTTGACATTTTGTTCAAGGGTTCCAGATTTGTTTATATAAAAACATTCCTCTTTTACTAAGAGGCAGGTCCCCCCTTGTTCAGCTGTTAAGTCAAGGGCCCTTTGGTTTTGGGGCACCACCCAGCCAGGGATGTGATTTGGCTTTGTAAGACCTCGAGACCCTCGATTGTGGATGTTATGGCTTGTTCGAGCCAGCTGCAAAATTCAGTGGTCGAGTGATAGGAGTGACCCAGGCCCCCCCGAGAGTCCAACCAATCCTGCAGACAGAGCGAGTCCCAGGCCGATGAGCAGGGGGATGAGCGCCTCTCTTTTGTGTCGGTGGGGAGTTGTCATCATATTGGCTGCTTCTTCCTTTTCTAGAAGGTAGAGTTGGGGGTAACAACGACAGGAGTACAAAAGGCAGAAATAGTTTGGTTGATACAAGTTGTTATGGTGCTGTTACACCAAAAGAGAGCCGGGGGTGGTGCACATAGGGCTGTGGATATAGAAATGTTAGAGACACAGGTGGGGGGATAAAGCAGAGGAGCTGTAAAAACAAAAAGGCAAGGAAGGGAGCTGGTCATAGAGGAGCCTATTGGGGAATGGTTGGTGGTGGGTTGTTATCTCCTGGGTGTTCCCTCTGATGATCCAGATGTTAGCTGGAACGGCTGCTAGCAGGGGTCTGGTGAGAGAGGCGCAGAAGAAACATTTTGAAATATTAGGATGGAAGAAAGCTGGATAAGGTCAGAGGCATACTGGATGTATTGAACCCAAGTTTGAATTTGT